GACAGATGTGGAAACTGTCAGGTCATCAGCATGTTGGATAAAATTAATATTACCTTGAGATGGTAAGATGGAGATGTTACTCATGGTACCTGTGACTTGGTATATATTAGGGTTCACAAGTGATTTTTCTGATTCGACTTCAATACTGACTACTCATGTAATTTATTCCGCATCTTATATGCACAAGTGACCAACGGATTAGTCGCAGGGTTTCTCTTTTTTTCGTACGATACATTACTCAACTATATGTACATATATTAACTGTAAACCTAAAACAGACAGCTGGTACAAAGGGTTTTGAATTTTTCATATACTCAATTCAATTAGTGGCCCACAAAAGTTAGAAAGCATGAGCAAGTGCGAATGACTTTAAAGCCCAACATGAACACTGAAATGACCAGTTAGATATTTACATTTTAACTGGAAGGCTAGTTTTTCACAAAATACAACAACTTAATTAGTCATTTTAATGGTTATTAATGTCACCCAACAAGTGCAGCAATATTCCAACACTAAATTGTATAGAAAGGAGTGGCTCTAAATATCATCATAACAACGACTGGATTAACCAATTACGTCGTTTAGTTTACTTTAAAATGTAACTTTTCTAAGCAAAGTCGGTAAAACTGATTGGTTATTTCAGTAGCTGCTAAGTTTTGCCTTTAAATTCATCCATAGAGAGTGATAATCACATGAACGAAGATAAATGGGTTAATTTTGATGCATACCATTTGACATGTTGATGAGATAATGTGAAGTGTAACAGCTGGTACCAGAACTGATGTTTGTGTTTCTCTGTTTACCTGGTGTACATAATCCAATCTAGTGGACGAAATTTCTGCTGAATTTCCGTTCAATGATGAAATTATTCGTAAATAGATGAAACTTCTATTCAGTGTTAAGATTACTTCGATTAGTTTACTGAAAACTTCAGATCGACAGATGTGAATCCAAAATGCGTATTGTAGAATATTCCTATTGACGATAATGATGGATAGTAGTTAAAAGTGGAATGCATGACGCGCGTTTCGTCGTATTTGGGACTTATCAGCTGGAGGTATTCGCCTCCCAGTGAGTGATGTTCCCACTAAAAGTCGTAGTGATAACTAAGACAAAAATGCTGACATTGCATGGGGACGATTATTGTGTCACTTATAGGGTAATTCGTAGTCAGACAGGCGATATGAACGTGGAATCTGCTACTGTTGTGTAACGTTTCACGTTGTCGCACCTTATCTACTCCGCATCAAAACAGAGAAATAATAAAGAAAGTAACTGAAAGTACTGGAAATTTATCACAGGGGAAGAAGGAGTAAAAAATATCGTAATTCAGTATGGTGTTTAAAATGCAGACTAAGTTACGAATCCATCTATATCACAAACCAATTCTAAGCCACATCGACTAGTCTCCAACCGCCAACTTTCATTGCCTACCTGACCCCAACCAAGAAGTCGATATTAATTTACATGACCCAGAACAGTAATAAGAGACTTCATGGACCGATGTCATGTTAAAGCCTGGTCACCTTTAACCTTTTTCAGCCTGAACCTACTTCAGTTAACATAGCCCAACGAGGTAGACAGTGACCAGAAAGTTGTTACACATATGCCAACCGTTTGAGTTTACGAAGGTTGAAAATCTCATCAATCAACTTATCTCTCAGTTATAACTCTACACTTGATTTCTATGTTACCGCGACACCCTGGAGATGATATGAAGGCTAAACAGATGAGGTCTTTGCATGTCCCTTACTTTTAATAGCGATGTTTTATAAACGAAATGTAGAACAGAGCAAATTGCGGTGCAGCACACTTGATCCTTAATAGGCAATCGGATATCTCAACGGTGCCATAGATATCATAAGCTGGTGAAAGCCAATAGAGTCTTTTTTTATCTGTGCAGAGATTTTCTTGATTATTGACCTATCAAGACTGATTCTTAAATCCTTCTAAAATCAATTACCCTACCGAATATATTAAACGGCAGGTCAATACCAATGAAACTCGTCAATCAGTTTTATGTTTAACTTAGTGGACACTAATATTCTTGCAAATGCGCTAGGATCCAACACACATTTGGCTTTAGCTAACACAGTTATCTTAGACAACAGATAATAGAACTTAGCATAGGATTATAAGAGTTTAATTTACTACACTTCAAACAACAGCACAAAAGCAGGGAGGATGATAACATGGTAGACAAAAGTTTATGGGACAACAGAGGGGAAAGATAAGAAACAAGTGAACGAATGTTAGTTGGAAATGTTCAAAATTTTCCAAATGATAATGAAGAAATATACTGGCAAGACTGTGATCAACTGCGAACTGTATCATCTAGAGCCTCTAACGTTTGACATCTCAATCAACCAGCTTAAACCTTTCTATATGCGTCAGGCCAACTTTCAGAGACTTTATGCATCAGTATTTTTTATACTGGGTAGTGATTGAAGGTGAAATGAAAATTTGGACAGCAGCCGGATTCGAACCAGCGACCACCAGGTTTCCTGCCTGACTCTCTACCTACGTGATGCATTGTGTCACGCTAATCTGTTGATATTTTCAATACAGATCATTGATATAATTACTGTTGTTTAAGAATATACACTATACGGTTTGGTTAACTAAAGACAAGTGAAGAACAACAACTTGATCCCCAATGAAGTTAGATCATTCATTTTGGTCAGTTTAACTTAACTTCGCTTTGCATACTTCAGTTTAATTGTCACCATTTTAAACTTCTATGACAACACACTTGACCTTTATTTCACCGCTTGAAATCAATTCTTTCTTATTCAGTGACTCCTTTTCTATTTCTTTCACCTGAACCAATCCACCCCACCCTAGCACCACTGCGCCAACAATACTTGTATCATATGGATAATGACTAGTCAATTCCTTGATGCATACAGCATGATATAAAGTCATTGAGAATAAATATTTCTTCGCTGATACAAACTTTATCCTTCATATTCATAAACCTGAGATGTGGCAGGATTCGAACCAAAGAAAACCAAACTGTTGACCAAATCTCAATTTTATGTCAGTCATCGATAGGGATATTCGGTTGTGATGGGAATGAGAGATCTATGGGTGTAATAACGCCATCACACTAGTTTTTTAGACAAATACCCTCTACTTCATGTAAATCGAGCTACATTACATAAGGTAAAGTAACTGGTAGATTATCCACTCAATTGGACAATTAATCTGATGATGAAATGACTGTCATGAATCCCTGATTCCTACAACATCTTAACAAAACATCTTGATGGTGAAATAATAAGACATGGTCGGCAGTTGTATCTCTAAGAGTTGTGACTCACTGCCTTAGGAAGTTGACTTTTAACCAGTGGGGTCACAGGTTAGAGGACCGCTCTACCTACCAAGGTTCGGATAATCAACCTTCACTTAGTACACCAAGTGTGGCTTATTGCCCATTGCACAAATATGCACAAGGTAGTTGAGTGATGCGATGTGAACTCTTTACGATAGGTTGATAGAGTACACAACTGGGAAACGGAAATACTGCTGTTTAGAATCCTAGGGAAACTCAAGTTTTCGCTTCAACACTAATCATTATTCCTTGTACAAATTGAACAACAGTCTGTTATCCAAAGGTATTTCTCACATAGTCATATTGAAAAGCGATAAGCTATGTTTATCTGACACTAAGTAGAATCAATAAATCCCATTAATAATACACATTTGTAAATGTCACACTTTGCGTTCTAAACACCCATGTATCCACCGAAACACACACACACACAGTCAAGACCATAGACTGGACAATTATCAAAGGTATGATTGGATAGAGGACGGGAAAGATGACTTAATATCCATATAGACAAGAGGATAGTCAGTAGTATTGGGCACCAATTCAATCCAATAATCAGTTCATTATGCCTTCATATGTTACGACCAAAGAAGACAAAAATATGACCAATACTCGAATTACTAACCAACTATTTTCAATATGTTTGGATTGAGATAGTAAAAGATCTAACTGGACAGCCAGTGTGTGTGTGTGCATGTAATGAAGTGAAGAAGAGGAGAGGCGGGGTCGATTGAAAGTGAATTTTTACGCCAATTATTCCATTTATAAATGAACTAAAAATGGTAGGCTGTTGATGAAACACAGACAACACTAGTCAACTTGGAATTACACCTGAAGAAGCACAGATCTCCCTACAATAACAATCCTATCAGGGGCGTATACTTAGGTTTGTTGAAGTGCTAGCCATAAACAAATTCAACCCGCCCCCTCTCCATTTGTGTATGCAAAAACAACCTTTCTCATTGCTTTACTTTACATACTTCTTTTTGTATTGCCTGCTGAGTTGTAATCACCAGAATGCAGTCCTACTAGTATGGAATTCCTCAGTAGTGTGAACCCATAGCCCCACCACGACAGGGGTCGAACCCAGGACCTTCAGGTTCCATGGCCAGCATGTTAGCACTGAACCACTGAATCGGAGTCCAATAATCCACATTTTCTACTTTTGTCAGTTCACGATATAGCGCGACCATTACCTAATGTCATCGCTGAGTATTTGTCCTCACGGTCACCAGGTTCGCTCCAGAGGTGACAACTTCTCATTGGAACTTTAAGAATCACCTTCAATCACCATCAATGATAACTGTTGAGGTCATGGGTGAGCACTGCTGAAGAGTCCCATACTAGGATGAAACAGTCCATGATGAATACTAACTCGAAAAGTCACTGAATGCCCCTACAAACCCTAAAATTCTATTTTTGAAATAGTTGGAGTTTCAACCCATCAGTAAGGTAGTAAAAAGTGGAATCGAAGATTGAACACTTATTAGAAGTCTATCCAACAGTTATCAAGTTATTACAGTAGCTTCACAACGAACAAAAACTATCCTCCACAACCTTATAACACAATAAAATATTACATTAAAAAGCGCAATATATATATATATATATATATATATATATATATATATATATAAAATTTACAAGCAATTTACTTTTCACTTACCTTTCTAATATATTTAACAAATTCTCAGCTGCTTTATACGTTTCTTCATCTTTATCAAATAGATTAGTATATGGACTATTAAAAGGTAATTCAGTAGTCTGAGCAGTATTGAAACAGCCATGATTCGTTGTTGTTGCATTAGCTAGCATATCAGTACTACTAACATCAACATCGCTGATGATGCCACTGCCAAGGATAATACCATCCGTGATATTTGAAGGATTGTTAATTAAATAATTACGTAAGACTGTGATTAATTCAATTAAACAATGTGCTGCTGACTCATGCATCTAGTTTCAGGTGTTTAAGACGCCAACAGTAAATAGGATTGGTAAGAACACAAAGAAATAACAATTAAATATGATAAGTATGTAACGAATGATAAATAAGTTAACAAGTGTAAAATATCTGTGATAATAGGGTCAAATCACAGCAATTGATCTGACCACAGGAGAATCCTCGGTAGATCTAGAGTACCCAGATGACATAGTTCTGTTACGTGAAGATGCTGACATGATACAGAGTTTTCTGAACACAGTGAGTGACAATTCGACAATGTTTGCAATACGAATCGTTGCTCCTAAACTGGTCATCAGCGGTGCCCACCTAACAACCAGAAATGATGTGGTCGAGTGCATTGAACACCACTTACCTGATAAGTCAGACCACCCATGATCCGTCAGTCGCCGACTAAACCTCTATACAGAAACAAAAGGCTTCACTGACTTTCGCCATCTTACCCCATCTACGGCGTCGTCCTGGTATCCCATTGTCTACTGAAGGTCGAGTGTACTGTGTTGTAGTTCGTTCTGTTCTACTCTGTGGCTATGAAATATCACCATTAAAGGAAGAAGACATGAGAAGGCTTCTGGTACTTAACTAGCATTGCCTTCGTAGTATACACTGTGTAACATGGTGTCACTACTATGTGAGTAACACAGAAGTCAGGCATAGAGTTTTAGGGAGGAAAGGAGAGTCAGTTGATGCGGTTGTCGAACTTTCACTGACTGAAATGGCTGAAACACGCGTTACACATGCCTAGTCACTACCTACTCCTACCTGGTCGCACAATGTCAGCTGAAGTATGTTCAGGTTGGAAAGTGTCTCGGGGTGGCCAGATTCCTTGACTGTTGATCTGAGACATTTAGGGTGATGCAGACTAAGTGGTTGAAGTCCATGTGATATGACAAACCAGTGGTTGGAGAGCCTAGATGATATTGCTCAGTATCGACGTCAGTAGTCCAGATGTGTATCTATCTATCTCTCTATCTATCTATACAGTGTCTTCATCTGAACCACTATACTGAATTCAGTATTCTCTCATCCCTCTGTTTGATTGTTTTTCATGGATTATTCTTTCTTTCTTAACCGTTCGTCATATCTTACTACTTCGTTACTTGTTGTTGTGATAAGAGGTGTAGGGAATTTTACAGTCACGCAGTACTGTCTGGTCCTGTGTTGACATTGATGATGAAACTTACTTAATAAGGCGAAAGTGATCACACGATCTGTCTTACTTTGTTTAGACTGACTTTGTGATCTCTACTCATCATCAGATATACACTGAAATTAATACCACCAAGTATGACACTTTCGCTCAATTTATGATCAATAAATGTATTTTCATTATAACCTAGTGCGACTTTTCAGTTGAGAATTTATATGAGCATTCAGAATATGCGACCGAATTTAAAAGTCACTTCTAGTTTTGTGGAGTGACTTTAAATGTTACCCAAGTAATTGCTGAAAAAAACCAATGAGGTTTTGGTACTTCATAATATAAAGAAATTTAAGTAGTTGTCTTAACAGTTGTTAGGATAACCCTTCAAGTCACTCATTCACTTCTTAGGCTACATCCATGATCCGTTTATGCTTAGTTGAAGTAGTCATATATTATATGCCACCAGATGAGTAACCCAGAAGTCTGACGTAGAGTTTTAGGCAGGACAGGTAAGACAGAATAACTGAAGCGTTGCTCGGGGTCAGGTGAACTGTGCTTTAAAAGTTTTTCTGCCCAACGTTCTAGTCGCCTATCCTAGGAGATTATCAGCATTTCATTCTTTTCGGTGATGGCTTTACTCATCATCGTTTTCTTGCACATATTCTTAATAAGCCTAAACTAAGTAGTTGCTGAGTGTTACCCAAAGCTGATGCTTTCTCCATCTCCTTAGCTTTCGTCACCTACCACTGCTTTCTGTCAACGCGAAGACTCTTGGTCAACTTAGTTTTCAGTTGCTCTCCATCATTGTCAGAGCGAGGTGGAACCAGTTTTCTCGCAACAATCAGTTCAGGTGACGTCAAGGAAATCCGATGACGTTTGTTAACCTTCGGGTGTAGGTTGCCAATGATGTTTGCCGCTTGTTTATACACCAGACTTAGTATCAGGTTTCCTCACCATGAGCACTGTTGTTGTGTTCAGACAAGTGCCTAGCTAACTCCTCTCGAAATGCGTACTTGGCGTCATCACCGACCAGTCGAGCACAGATGGGCTTATTGCCTGCAGTTTCCTGCGGCCAGTAAGAATCAGGCACACATGAACCCGCACGAGCGCGTGGTCAGAGTCCAAACTGATACTCCAGAAGGAGCAGCAATCCCCCACCGGTCCCCTCCAACGATAGCTTATAGCAGTATGATCTATTTGTGTCCATCGTTGAAGTCGGCGGACGTTATGTGAGACAGTGTCTTTCTTTATGCCTTAAGTTAGCCTTGTCCAGAAACAAGTGATTGTTCGAACAAAAGTGCGACAGACGATCACCGTTATCTGTTTGTTGGCATAGGATTCCGTAGATACCTCCAAGATACCTTTCTGATTGGCTCAACTTTCCTACTTGGACGTTGAAGTCGCCTGCCATTATAACTACATCTGGACGTTCCGCTTTCTGTAGCAAAGTCGACAGCTTCTCATAGAATTCATTCATTGCATCGTCCGAACTGCAGTTTGTGGCGCGTAAGTGGAGATTACGAATAGGTATCACCTAGTCTCATGATCGTTCCTAGTTCTTACAGATCCATTCAGTCGAACAGCACAAAGACGTCTGTTGGCTGGTATCCAATAGAGAAGCGCACTTTCTGCTCTACAACTCAATGCTATGCCTATACCATAGAGTCCATGAGAGCTAGCCACTGGGTCTCTGGATAGTCTTATCGTGAATTTTGAAAATTCCCATCTATGGCCAAGTGAGGTCAATTTAATAACCACACTAGGATCCTGTATACGTACATGTCTCAGAGATACAACATGCATCCGTGGCTACAGATTCCAGAGCTGTGGAGGGCGATATGGTATAGACTTCAGACGTTGAAAGCTCCTACATGAAATCGATGACAGGGAGACTATGAATGAGGTTACGATGGCTTTGATGGTTGCACAGTGAGAGGTTAGGTAGGGCATAACAGGCCTAATATAAGTAACAGGAGGTAAAGGCAAAGGAGGGGAAGTTAGGTTTGATTCAGTCTTGTGTACTACTGAAAACATGCGAGTGGTTGACACTACCCGGTTGCACACACTGTGAAAGGTTATTTCTTCTGAAGGTACCTATTTTGGGGGACGATCCTTTCTAACCTCCCCACCTTTTCCTAGTGGGAAGGCAGTACCAGCGTAGCACTGATGGTCATTCAAGGGAAAAAACTTACTGCTGTCACACTCCATACAGCTAGTATTAGTATGACTCCACCCTTACACACCATCACAGTGTATTAATTTACACTACAACGGTAACTGCTTTTCGTCTTACCACTATCCAACAGGCCTTTCCGGCACGGTAAGATCTCGACAGAACAAGAGTTCCAGTCAGTGTAGATCCTTGGGTCATTGTGATACATTATTCCGACTACCAAGTTAAGGTAGCAGCTATCGGTCGGGTGACTAAAATTTGGTTGCAATGGTGAAGATGTATTCACCTTTTGACGTTTTCGAAGTCCTCAACATTTTCTCTTGCCTTAATATGTTCATTTTACGTTCTTTCATGAACTTTCATCCACTTTTTCTTCGAACCGATGCAGTTCTGTGTTAGTTCATATGTTATTGTGTGTCTGCCTGTCGGTAGGATAACCCACGAACGTTACAGATGCAGTAATCTACAAATAACGAACGAGCCTATTGTATCCTAGCAGAGATTGCTTTAGCAACCATCAATTTACTAGGACTGATGTAGAATCCCAATTAAGAGAAATAGTCAATGCATTTTACCACTTCACTCTTTCTATCCTACCATCTTATCGACAGACATTATAAAGATTATCACTTGATTATCGAAAATAGCCGTAGTTTGGTAGACTGGTATTTATGCTGGGTGATGATTGAAGGTGAGATGAAAATCTGGATCGCGGGCGGATTCAAATCAGCGACTTCCAGGTTAACGGCCCAGTGCTCTACCAACTGAGCTACGAGGTTAGAAGATATATAAAGAGATTGGGTTAGACTGTTACTTCTAGAAACACACCTAGGATGGAAGATGGTATTTTTTTAAGGTCAGTTTCATTCTCAATAACTTGTTTTCCACATTACATATTCAAACCTTGGGTCCGATATTCTTGATGCTACAAACTACCACCATATTGAATTCAGTGACCAAACAAAATTCCTTTGACATCAGAATAAGAAAACACAACTAGGTCAATTTAATCCAAAGGATGGGTGAAGTTCACATGAAATTGACACTTTCTCATACTAGGGAATGAGGTCATTACAAACAGCTGTACTCTTTCAGTAACTTGATGATTAGACAAAAACCTCTTGACTATCAAGCTAGGGTGACTATTATTGCACAAGGGCTATGGTAAAACTTAGAAACAACTAAGCTCTCTCTTTCTTTCTCTCTCTCTCTCTCAGCAACCATTTGCACGTCCATGAACTAGGCAATGAGCTAGGCCCTTTGTGTGAGGGGCTAGATATACTAATTAACTCTTAAAACCTTGCTAGGTTAAGTTGAATCGTGACCAGTGACCCACCGATTGAGAGTCATCTGTCTAGACTAACGACTGTTAAGTGACTTTAAAAGATGATTAGAGAAGGGCAATAATTTCAGTTGAGCAGAGAATCTGGATCATAAAGAGATATTAACCGGTGGTCTTCAAGTTTCTGTCCTGACTGAACTACTAGGGTTTGCCACATCCTTACTACTACTTGAATCATGCAACACCTATTATTTAAGATTAAACTGCTTGGGACTAAGGCTGTCTTATTCAACAATTTAACAGGAGCATATTCAACATTGAGAAAGAGAAAGAGAAAATAATGAAGATAAAAAGTGGGACATATAAAACATTCATATGAAATTCTGAACAGAAACGTTCATTGAAAACAATAACTACTGTTTCATTTCCAAGACAAAATATCATTGAGCAAAATAAGTTTCATGAGAATAGTATCTGCAAACTGAACTAACAGATGGCAGATAACAGAAAACATTAAATTTTGACCAATAATGGACTGAATGTTTTGAAAAATCTTGGGCTCTGAGCTAGTATGATTCATCGTATAAGGTGGATTTTTACTTATATAATCTCGGTGTAGTATATATTAGAACAGATAACAAATATTTTGTGTATTATTCCTCATCATGTGGAATGAAACTGTATTCCATCTTCTCTTCATATATTACTTACAACTGCCTATGAGAGTCATTAATGTTTGCCACCATATATTGTGGGACCAAAGAAGGGTAGGAACAGATATGTACAGCTTCCGCAATGTTCCGCTCTTTGCGATAAAGAAAATCCTTTTGCGGGACTTTTGTCTTTTCAAATGATATTTTATAATCTGAATATAAGGCATGAACCGCGATGGCAGGGTTTTTATCAAGTCTTTTTTAGATCATAAGAATTTATACTTGGTGATTGATTGAAGGTGAAATGAAATTTTGGACACAGACCGGACTTGAACCAGCGACCACTGGGTTTCCGGCTCGATGGTTTACCAATTGAGCTACGACAGCGTCGAGCCGGAAACCCGGTGGTCGCTTGTTTAAATCCGACAGTGGTTCAGATTTTCATCTCACCTCCAATCATCACCCAGTATGAATACTAGTCTGCTAAACAAGGGCTACCATAGATAGTCAAATGGTAATCAATATGATGCTCCCCCCCTCCCCTCCATCTTCTCTCTAATTTAGTTAGATTTCGATTGGGATGAGAATTCTTAACTGAGACAGTCAGTGTGAATACGATCAAGCGGTAGTAACACATCACGAATTGACATAATAGTCAGGTAAAACCCCATTTATGATTGAAGTGAAATAAAATTCTGGTCAGCAGTCGGACCTCGTGGCTCAGTTGGTAGAGCATCGGGTCGGAAACCTGATGGTCGCCGGTTCAAGTTCGCCTGCTGTCCAAAATTCCATTTCACCTTCAATCATCACCCAGTATAAATACTAGTCTACAAAACGACGGCTATCTCAGATAGTCAAATGGTAATCATAGGAATTTGTTGGTGATTTCTTGCAACTTCGATTGTTTTCGGCTAGACGTGTTAGTACTTGACGTGATGTCTCTTCAATGTATGTGGCATCGTATTCACTACAGTCTACCATCTTATGAACACAGTTCTGTTGTTCCAAATGGGAGGCGGGGGGGGGGGGTCGGATCTTTTAATTTACACAGGTGTGAGTGTAATGCGTTCATCACCTTAATCATACAAAATATTTATTCATTTTGTTATTTGTTCTAATATACTACGCCCGGATTACACAAGTAAAAATACACCTTATAAGATGGAACATTAAGTTCTATTCATTGAACATACGTAATAGTTTATATCGAATTGAATGATACGATACGAGATATAGTTGATTTCTCAACCATCTTAATTATTCTTTAGTTTTGACAATTATCCGATTCGTTAGTCAATTATTTCACTGTTGTGGGCGCTAAGCACTCGGCCAAGTCACAATAATACCACCATATCAACCTTCAGTCTACCATTACCACTACTAATCGACTATTTCACCTTATTATTATCATTATTATTATTATTACTATCATTCCTTCATGAAATAACATTTAAAAATCTAACTTTTAGTGATAATTTGATAATAATTTAGTGTCATAAAATAAAAACATTGATTTTTCGAGAGAAAAAAACAACTATTACCTCAAATGAATACATGGGATCAAATTTTTCGACTAAACGTTCTACAAGACGATCAGCTTTAAACCACTAGAATAGAATAAAGGAGAAGAGAAATGATAACGAAAATGATTATTGATAGAAAAACAAAACAAACTCAATGAATATAACAATTGTACAATTGGTTCCACTCTATCTGATTCACCCCAGTGGTATCTAAAAGAGGCTACTCCAGACTATTTCAGCAGTTTCAACCGATAAAAGCCTATAACCTTTATTACTCGGAAGACCAAATCGTCAGGTGAACTTTCTGATTTCTCGTCACCTATATTCAACCAGTTAGTTAATAGTTAAAACAAGTCTCTCAAATTAGAGATGGGCATTTGTGATGCTATATAAACTAAATATCACATCTGCTATTATACTGAGAAATATATTTACATTTGATAATCATCTAAACGATTTGTTTTTTTAGTGTAAACATATTAGAAAGACTCGGTTAGAAGGCGGCTATGGGTTAAATCATTCCATGAAATTGATGACTGTTGGTTTGACACGTATAACGAGATAAAGACTATCTGACTGAGGTTTTCAACACAATCATCCTCATTGTCATTATTAGCATCAATATAAGACCAGACATTACTACGTGACTGTAAAATTCCCTACACCTCTTATCACAACAACAAGTAACGAAGTAGTAAGATATGACGAACGGTCAAGAAAGAAAGAATAATCCGTGAAAAACAATCAAACAGAGGGATGAGAAAATACTGAATTCAGTATAGTGGTTCAGATGAATACACTGTATAGATAGATAGATAGATAGATAGATAGAGAGATAGGTAGGTAGATACACATCTGGACTACTGACGTCGATACTGAGCAATATCATCTAGGCTCTCCAACCACTGGTTTGTCATATCACATGGACTTCAACCACTTAGTCTGCATCACTCTATATGTCTCAGATCAACAGTCAAGGAATCTGGCCACCCGAGACACTTTCCAACCTGAACATACTTCAGCTGACATTGTGCGACCAGGTAGGAGTAGGTAGTGACTAAGCATGTGTAACAGGTGTTTCAGCCATTTCAGTCAGTGAAAGTTCGACAACCGCATCAACTGACTCTCCTTTCCTCCCTAAAACTCTATGCCTGACTTCTGTGTTACTCACATAGTAGTGACACCATGTTACACAGTGTATACTACGAAGGCAATGCTAGTTAAGTACCAGAAGCCTTCTCATGTCTTCTTCCTTTAATGGTGATATTTCATAGCCACAGAGTAGAACAGAACGAACTACAACACAGTCCACTCTACCTTCAGTAGACAATGGGATACCAGGACGATGCCGTAGATGGGGTAAGATGGCGAAAGTCAGTGAAGTCTTTTGTTTCTGCACAGAGGTTTAGTCGGCGACTGACGGATCATGGGTGGTCTGACTTATCAGGTAAGTGGTGTTCAATACACTCGACCACATCATTTCTGTTTGTTAAGTGGGCACCACTGATGACCAGTTTAGGAGCAACGATTCGTATTACAAACATTGTCAAATTGTCGCTCACTGTGTTCAGAAAACTCTGTATCATGTCAGCATCTTCACGTAACAGAACTATGTCATCTGGGTACTCTAGATCTACCAAGGGTTATTTTGTGAAATCAGACGACAAGAGGCAGATTTCCATAAGAATATCTATGGCAGAATGGAACAGAACTAGAGAGAATGGGCATCACACACGGACACCGTTCAGAATACACAACTCACTTGACAACTCAACATATGCTCTAATACGTTCACGGCTGTATGAGTGAAAAGCCCTTAACACAGTTTTGTACTTGATTAGTACCCCTTCAAGTAGAAGACACTGTCAAAAGACCTCTCGATCGACGAAGTTGGATGTCATCTTTAGTTCGAAAAATATAGCCGGTTTCGGGCATCGGTAAATGTGCCTATGTTCTAGAACCCGGCGGAGTGCGAATATCTGGTCGATACACCCACGAACAGGTCTGAAGCCCGCATGGTTTTCTCGGGCTTATCGTTCTCTAACTCCTTTGAGACGTCTAATGATGATAGAAGGTAGAACCCTAGACACCATCTTTGCCAATCTTCACAGAAGGACTTCTCACCTTTCTTGAAAACTAGGATAATTAGTGATTGAGATCGCTAAGATAGGATCGTGTGACTCACATACTAGGGACCGCTTCAGCTGACTTGACTAAAAATCCTTGATCACTATTCCTAAATACTTCTGGAACTAGTCCATTTGGTCCTGCTGCTCTTCCGCTTTCTCGACTTTTGCAAGTGTTGGGGTTCTTATCTTTTTTAACCAATCAGGCTCCGGCTGGATAGCGGGTAACGAAACAGTGGCTGGAGGCCAGCTGAACTGTTCCTCAAGGTTTTCCGCGTATCGTTCCAGCCATCTTTCCTCCGAGGGGATCATAGTCCTATCCTTCTCCTCTATATTCTCACTAACCGTTGGCCTTTTCGCCCCAGTTTCACTAATAAGTCTGAATAATTGTCTACTGTTACCTATCACCGCTGCCATCTCTCTAGCCTTTGTTGCCCACCACTGTTCGTAGTTATTGCGTTGACTTTTTGTCAGTTTACGTTTTAATTGCATTCGCTCGTCATTGTACACAGAGCATGAAGTGATGCGTTCGCGTGCATCCACTAATTCAAAAGCTGCTGACATCCACTGGCTCTTTTTAACCAATCTCCGAGAGTCAGCTACGGTCTTCAACGCTGTTTTTACAATACTGATTGGTGTTGCTGCTGAATTTTTCCTACGTCCACTGAGAAGCAGATATACACGCGCTCGAAACAAGGTGTGTTCGCTCCCCAAACACGTGCTCCAGAAGAAGAAGCAGTCTTTCACCGACCCTCTCCATAGATGACTAATACCAATATAGTCCATCTGTGTACACCACTAAGTTGAGCTCGGTGGGTACCACGTCAACCAATTTTTTTCTTTGTCTTAGGTTTTTGCTGGTTAAAAATAAACAGTTTTCTGAGTACAGTTGTAGTAGGCTACAGCCGTTTTCTGTTTGTTCGGCTGAGATTTAGAAACTGACACCTAAGTGCCTTTCTGTCTGACTTAGCCTACCCACTTGTGCATTGAAATCACCTGTAACAACAACCACGTGTGAGCGCTTGGCTCTCAGTAAGGGGTTGGACAGTTTTCGGTAGAACTCATCCTTCACTTCATCTGAACTGGAGTCAGTGGGTGCGTAAGCAGAGATTACAAAGAGATAGCGGCGAGTTTCGCTATTCTTTTTCGCCCATATTGTACCTTTCAGTCAACCACCAAATAGGCAACTGTCAACGGGAATTCCGTCGAGTAGCGAACTTTCTGTGCTCAATGCTATACCTAGATACAACAGACCACGAGAACTGGCCATTGAATCTGCAGAAAATCGAAGGGTGAATTTTGCGGATTCGCCGGATTGGTCGGGTGAGGTTGAGTGAATATCCGCACTTGGGTCCTGTATGCGTACCTCACAAACACAGCACACATACATGACCTAAGTTCCAAGAGTTTTGGTTAGTGAAGCTTCCTGACCGACTTAGAAGAGAGTGGGGAAATTGAAAGCTTCAACATGTAATTTGGAGCGCGGTTTTAGGACACCAAGGATGTTGTCTAGTGAATTCCGATTTTCGTCGGAAACCTCAGCACTGAAAAAAATCTAAAATGATGCAGGATTGTTGACCGAGAGACATGAAAGAAGATCAGAAGGTAAGGATATGAGGGCTGACAGATTTGTGAGGGCGGTCGACACTTTCCGGCTCCCCACATCGTGGGAGGTCGCCTTTTTGAAGTACCTGAAAAGGAAGAATTTGTGCGTGACAGCTGAGCCTAAGGGACATCTGCTTAAGGCCTGTCACACACGACGCTTCCGCAAGTTTCAGATTTACGCTCGTTGCATTCGTAACAGACTATGAACCTGTGTCGCAGGTATCGGCATGCCGTGCGGTGATGGGAGCGTGCTGTTTATGAGGTCGACCCTTTCTAACCATTCCCCTTTCTCATAGGGAAGACAGCACCAGTGTGGCACTGCTGCTCATCCAAGAGAAACGCCTTACTGATGTCACACCTCATCAGCTAGCAGCAGTAGGACTTCGCCCTGAGACCCCCATCACAGCGTAGCAATTTACCCCACAACGGTAACTCCTTTTTATCTAGCAGAATTTTCTGGTAGGATAGGACCTCGAGGGAAAAAGCGTCCTACCAACATAGCTCGCTGGATCATTGTGATACACAAGTTCAACCACTACGTGAAAATAGCAGCTATCGGTCAACAGTTGGAGACAATCGGTGATATAGCCTAAAAGTGATTTATTTGTTAGAGCATACAGTGATGCAATATTACTAACTGAATAACATTTCTAGCAAAATTTATTGCTCATATGAAGTCTCCCAGTAAATAATACTGTATCACTGTGTTATATAGAATAAACAATCTAGTATGGAACGATACTCTACCACGGAGTCCAAGTATGACTCTAACATTCTTGAACATTTACATTAACCTTCATCTGGCTGTGTTCTTCCTCTGATAGAATTTTGCTTACTTTCTTCCATGTCATTCATTTTCTATCTTTCGTTTGCATGCTGCTGTGAAGTTGGAATGATGCACTTTTGTGACAGAATCTACACTGACTTGTACATATATTAGGAGAAAGACTTGTCCTGGTCATTAGTCTGATTGTTTCACATCTACAATTTAGCTTTAAGTAGGGTAGAAATGTATATGCACTCAGTGGCCATGCCCACAATTGCACAATAGGCAATGAACAACTGCCCAAACATCGGTAGGCGGGGCGGCACTTTCACCCGTGACCCATCTGGACGAATGAAACACAGCACAACCGAAGTAGGTTAGATATATCACACATGGAAAGTAGTCATTACTTACTTCAAAGATAACACACTGTTGTTTAGTTTCTTGTTGAGCCAATTGAATGATTAAATCAGCCACAGCACATGAATCTAAGCATGAAAATATTTGATCCAAAAACTTTTGTGATGATCGCAAGTAGGGAATTATCTGTTTGTGATACAAGAGAGATAGAAAACAAAAATGTATACCGTGGAATAGAAATTGACAACGAGAATTAACGAAACTTAGTGTACTTGTAACTATAATTAAGCTGAGTTGTGAAACACATTGTATAACGATACAATTACGCCAGAATATGAGATAATGTTTCACTATGAATAATGCAGAAACACTTCGAGTCATCATCGACTACTATTTCAAGCATTCAGATATGCGTATTTTTGATTTATTGGTATAGACCTTCGGTTTTTAGCTGACGGACCATGGGTTCGAAATCTGTCCTGTCTACCAAGGTTGAGTAATTGTTACCTTTCATATAATAGATATAGTTCATGGTCTAGTACAAGAACTTGTACACAGTGGCTGAATCATGCTTTGCATTTATTTTTTTCAACATTCACATTCACTGAACTATTCGGCAGATTTTATATCAAAAAAAGTTCAAACAGACGTTCATTTATTCCCTTCAACAAAAATGAGGTTTAAAGACTATGCAAACATATAGGAGTAAAACTTGGGCACTGTGGTAGATTGTAATTCCATTCTAGTCTGTTTATTAGGAATGTTACACAGTGAAGGAAAAGTATTGCTTACTAGTCAACATCATCTTGGACACAATTTATTGTCCATATTTATATCAGGTAACCCCACAACCTTCAGAAAGAGTTTACATAGTCTTAATTTTCTCTCCTTCTTTGCGATGACAAGGGTAGTAGAATTTTCTATATATCTGGGACAGGTAAAGAATCATTTCTATTGAACGTATTTGGTGTTGATTCGATAAAAAAAGATATAGGTGTCATTAATAATAACTCTACTACTACTAGTATCAATGATGGTAATAATGGTAACAGGGTTGAGACAGAATCCAAAGCCTCTGCTATGTTCCCATATACACAAGGAAGGCACCTCAGAAGCATTACGAAGAATCCTTAATGAGGATGGCTGGGATTAAATTGGTATTTAAACCGAAAAACTCGCTTACAAACAAGTTTTGTAGGTTAGAAGATCCTATTGATGCAATTAGGCAACATATATTAGTTTACCAAATCCCTCGCGATGATTGAGAGGCCAAAGTAGTCGACTAGGGTCAGTTAGAATAACAGAGCATAAAAACTTAGCTAAATCAAGATTAGAAGATCCTAACAAGATAAGAAATTCGGAAAAAAGCTCGGCTATAGCTCTGCACGCAATTACACATAATTACATAGTCGGGCGAGATACAACGACAGCATTAAAAATTTAGTTGGGTGAAGGGAGATTGATAACCGAATCCTTGTTTATCGAATCAATACCAAATACATGCAACAGAAAAGATTCTGCACCAGTCCCAGATATATAGAAAATTCTACTACCCTTTTCATTATAAAGAAGGCGGAAAAAATTAGGACTATATGAACTCTGTTTGAAGGTTGTGGGGTTATCTGATATAAATATGGACAATAAATTATGTCCGAAACGATGTTATCCAGTAAATGGTGTTGTTGCTTCACTGTGCAACATTTTTAATAAACAGACTAAAATGGAACTATGCAAACATGTAGATAAGTTTGAAAAGATAAGAAGAAATGACAGACGTGAATTGTTTTGAGTGGAAATACTTCTTAAACCATGGAGCTAAATAAGTTAATCGGTAATACGTGGTGTACTTATTAGGTGCGTAATCAGATGGAATACTTAAAATGAAGTGAAAAAAAAGTAACAAGGAAAAGTGACTCGAAAATCACGCACAGATGCGTACATCAAGCTATGAATCACACTTATTTGGTGACAGTTTATGATGCTACCTTGCTTTTGAAACTCAATAGGTAGAATGCGCTTTAAATGCTTCACCTACTGTTTGGAAGTCTAACAACTAATTCAATATGATACAGTGCTATGCAAAAAGACAGATACAACTTTTGCGTTTATTACGAAAGCAATGACAACCAGCATGCTTGAAAGACAGGAAAGCAAAATGATCATTAGTACGCAAAAAGTAGATCTTACTATCAGGTTTTGCACACAAGAATTCGCATTTTCATATTTTTGAACAGTTATCACTGAAATTTAAACTCTATAAATCGATCATTTTGATGACAAAAATAAACATTCGATGATAGACGCTAGCAAATGCAGTGCTTATTGGTACTTACCGGGAAGTCATATATGTAACCATGAAGAAGAACGTGGTGTTCCCTTGGTGATCCAAACCTGAGTCACATAGTATTGAAATCAGTACCTTTACAGTCAAACTGTTCAGGCCACGATTGACCCCATGCAAGACTAGATCAAGTACACTAATTAGTCAGCAGTTGGGTAACCTATGTAATTGTCTATTCCCTGGTGCTCGGGTGTTGTCTGAAGTCTATCGATCAAGTTTGAAATATTGCTAGTAAGCTAACCGAAGTGGCATGGCTGTGCACTCGATCAATTAGCTTCGACAATGAGTGACGCAGCTTCGAATCACCGAGGGAACATCCGTTTCCTCACGGCTGTAGACACGCCATGATGACGAATGCTGATTTGGACTAAATGTCCTGCTGAATGACTCTAAACGTCTAGCACCGAAATAGAGTGCACCACAATGTTACATCAATTAGCTTAGTTACCATATTGCAAAACTTGGTAGACAGACTTTGATGCCAACAAATCATTGAGGACCAGGCAGCTACATCGACAACTCCCAGATGACAATTTCGTATACAAATATTGAAGTCTAGTATGTGAAACAGATTTATTACAATGTTGCATTAGTTTGGAAGATGTTCACGCTGATGTCTTCAGCTGCTGTAACAATCCATCTCTCACCAGTCCGAAATCGAATCGAATGGAAATGTACTCAACAACCTTGTGCACATTTATGCAGTAGGCAATGAGCCACACTTGATGTGTGAAGGGCAATGATACTACCTGGCTGTTCAAACCCCGGCTGGTGGAGCGGTGTTCGAACCCATGGCTCACTGGTTGAAAGTCATCTCCCAAAATCAATGAACCACAGCTCTACCGGTCATGCTATAATAATAGGTTGTTTCTCATTTTAAACATGGTAATACATAGAATTTAACTAAGAGGTTCAATGGAGAAAGTGCTTAACTCAAAAATTCAGTGTTCAGTTTACGGCAACTTAAATCTTATCGAGTAGCCTATCCCCATTACCCCATTTAACATGTTCAAATTTGGCTCTATCAATATTATGATCCCATCTAACTAAGCCAACGATGGAGAGTTGGCACTTACCAGACATCTATATTATGGATATGCTTATGATTCACTCTAGCCCCATATCATAAGCATTGAGTGGAGCTGAATCCATAACTTTGTATCATACACCATCCCACGCATGCAGTAAGCAGAAACAGCACAGATACTACAGATTTCGTCACTTTACGACTTCGCTATGATATCACATCAGAATGAATGACATATTCAATATATATTTATATAAACACGATGCAAAATCAGACCAGTTCAGAAATGTTCTCTGATACTTTGGATGTGCAAACTATCACTGGAGAAAACCGATTAATAAAACCTAGTTTTAACTTGCAGTCCTCATATTCTTGTGTAATAATACAGAAGCAGATTAAAAGCGAAGAGAGCTGTGACTCCTGTCTGGACACTTAATTCTGAATCACTCGATTAAGAGTTAATAGCAGTTTTAACAAACTCCTTTTTGATTATGTCAGGTGTCATTTGGTGTCACACAATAGAATTGTAATGTAGAGTAGTTGGGTTGTAATCATTTTCCGAATGGTAACCGACAGAGTATGATTAATTAGGTTGCACTGGCTGAACTGTATAGCCAAAAACGCTCACGGTATATATTGCTATCGACGACCTTTTATTTCACTATTCGAGGGAACTTCGTGACCAAAAAACGAAATTGCACACACTAAGGAAATATTGTGGTGGGTGATGCTGATCACAGTGGATGGATAGAAGTAGTATATGTTGAGAGAGAGCCTGAAATCATAGGGAATTACCAGAAATGGGTAAGGATTCTCCCAAGATAAACGCAAGATACAATGTGGGCGTATTAAGAGCAAATCAAGATAGAAGCAGAAGAGGAAATGAAGCACATTTTGCAAATGACGGTCTTAGTGCAGGGTGTCCCATATTTAACGACTACTGTACAAGATGTCAATAATAAACATTCCTTCCTTTCTCTCTATCTTCTCTTTTCCTCCAAATTGAAGCTATTAAAGTTGACAACTTTCGTGTACCCTTAATTCCAATTACGAAACTGTAATAATGTCCAAATTGTGATTTTATTCTCGTTAGGAACTAAGCAGACATTTGTCTTGGTACATGTATTACATTTAACTTGGAAGCAGTTTGCACTTTCTTGCAGTAACCCATGAACCCCACTTTTTGTATGAGGGCTAATGATGCTTCTTAACTGTCCAAACATCGACAGGCGGAAGTGAGGTTGACACCATAACTCATTTAACAGTTTTACCCTTCCGCATAAAGTAATACCTTGCGATGAAACTACACCAAGCAGAACACCTATCGAACCCAGGTTTCATCAACTGAAGTCTGGGCAACTAGGTAGTATACTTAGCCATTACTCATTTAATGGGTATGGCTCATTGCCTACTGCACAAACTTATACGAAGCTGCTGGGTGGATTCGAGAACAACTATCTTACGATACTAAAAATTGAACAACGAAAATAATGAAAACCAAGTACTAAAGCAATTTAAAAGAGAAAGAACACTTACAACACTACCACGATGCAAAGTTAAATGTATCAATAGACGTGAGACGAAACTGGCAGATAATGGATTAACTGGTTGATTTGAATTAAAAAATTGAATCAACATGTCTACACGTGGACGTGTAAGCGGAGAGTTTATCTTATTTGTTCTTTTTGTTGTAAGCATTTTAGTCTCATTATCATTTACATTTGTTATAGATGATAAGGTGATATTAGATGAACAGACTACATTCATATCATCCAATTCACTATTACTTAACAGTTTCTCTTGAGAATTCATCATACTAGATTCATCAATAATAGACATTGAAGTTGATGCACTATTAGTAGAATCATCATCATCATTCTTAATATTATTATCTGCGCTTATTTGACATAATTCCATTGAACTATTTACATGTTGTGAATTATCATCGACAACCAACATATCATTAGTTTTGCTATTCAAATCGAATGTATCTGATAATCTGTTTCTTTCCCAGTTTTTATCACCATCATCATCATGAATCATTGACAATGAAAATATACCAGTTGATTCATGGATATCACTATCATGTTGATAACCTTGAAAAAGACTATATGATTTATGTACTGGTGTTGGTTCAATTATTGCATCTAGTATTTGATTAATATCATTGGTTAGAATTTCACACGCCAAACTAGGATATCTGATAGTGGATGAAGGAATAAAGGAGATTAAATGAGAAAAACTAAAGCATATAAAGCATCTTACAGATGACTGAAATAATAAATGATGTTAATATGTAGAAATGACCGTAACATTTCTCTATTGACAGGGATAAGTAGAACTCACTAAAACCTTAAAAATGCTACTCTACCCACAAAATACACAAAGAAATACAAAGAAACTCTAGTTACCGTACTTATGGGATATGAGTACTTCCCATGAAAGTAGGAATGAGTTTCTGATAGCTACATATTGATGGGAGCATAAACTCCCTCAACTTAATGTTGTAGGACTCTAGTTCAAGACTGAATAATACTCGTTAGTTGTATAGATTTAAGGAATAAGTATACCACATTAACCAGAGAGCTCGAAACATTTGGGTGACCAAATAATCACTTCAATTAAAACGTAGGTGTATTTCACAGGATCACTCTTTGTAGCTAAACAAACACAGAGAAATATGGTAGATTTCAACAGCACAACGTGGTGAAATTAGGCTTAATGATAAGGATTCTCAAAGACTTCACTTATTTGCGTACTGACTAATCAGTTCCTTAAACGAAACTGTGATTGACTAAACGCTTTGATTGCTGAAGCTAATGAACACCACGAATAGCTTTGTACACTTTCAGATCAGAAATCAATAGTTTTATAAAATACCCAACTATATATATATATATATATATATATATATATATATATATATATATATATATATATATATATAACTAGCAACGAACAAACGAAGTGAAGTTGGCTTGATCTAGTCACTTTAAAAGTCACCCATTCACCTCTGGAAAAACACAAGTATAATAAATTAAGACCAGAGGAAAAACAAATAAAGGTTGAAAGGAAACTTACCTATACAAATTATGATCAAAAGTGTTAGACACAGGGGTACGACTAATCAAATCTAATAGGTAATCCAAATTGTCTGACCGTGATAAACTAAATCATTTCGTAAAAATTTCCTTTAGTACTGATAAACTTACAAATTAATTAGACGTGGGTCTTTTTCACGACATTTCTGTAAGACATCGTCATCATCTAGCAATTCTTTCATTGTGAGATCCTAAATAGGTGACTAAGACAATGGATATGACTTACCGGTCGTGACAATAAGTCATTTATTCGTGAATACGCGGCAACAGATGCCCAGAACATGGCTATAGAATTGAGAAAGGGGAGAAAAGAAACAATGAAGTATGGTGATATAAAACAAACACCAATCATGCAACTTAAAAACCACATGAAAGCTAATTCAGCATGCAGTGAGTTACGCCTGTGTGAAGTCATATGAAACCAAATAGCTACTCAAACCCTAGTAGGTGAAGTGGTGTTCAAAACAGTGATCCATTAGTTGGAAACTGAGTACCTAAACCAATAAGCCGCATATACATAGTTGTACACATTTACAACTCATGTTGTAAATGTTATGATAAATTGGTAGTTTTACATGATTGAATTGTCATTGCCAGAGCTTTTGGTGTCACCTCACGCGTAACCTTCACAAAGAAGCTGCACCGAAGATGGCATGTTTTCATCGCTGAAAAGTTCAGCTGGGAAAGCAACTAAACTGACAAAAGAATGAAATAAAAATTATGACTTAAAAATAAATGATGGGACAATGATTCAGCAGTGTAAAAACAGGAGCACCGATAACATGTGTGTGGAACTTAATTAACTGGTGACTACAACCCGCAAGAATTGGGCCATTAACATTAATAATCACGAAAACAGATCCGTTGATTAGCTAATTAAACCAATTTAGAGAGTAACACAATAACATATTTGATAGCTTTCTGGATTTCATCAAAAATAACTTCGAACCAACCGTCTTTAGGTCAAATATACTTAGTGCATTTACGAATCACAAATAAGCTTTTTCAATCTAAATATGAAATCAGTCAGTCAGCATGAAAGTGCGGTATGGCATCAAGATGAAAGATAGAGAAATAAAGAGGTAAGTACTTAAAGTAATAAAACGTTGTGAAGAGGGAACAAGAAGAAATGAAACGATAAAATTTGGTATGAAAATTAAATTGGGTGGAGATATCTGCGTCACTGAAATCGATTTTGAACCATAGCACCTAGAGTCTCCAACCAACGATTCCCATTGTTTATCATCTTGACTATCTGAGATAGCTGTGGTTTGGCAAACTAGTATTGATACCGCGTGATGATTGAAGGTGAAATGGCCCGTGGTGGGATTCCGTTGTCATATGGACCCCCGCTGGTAAGCTAAAAATTTTCTACACTGCTCATAAAAAGTAAACGCACTGATGCCATATTTTACTCTGGCAACCTTTAACCGTTTTTCAACCCATATCGACTTCAGCTAACATTGCGCAACAGGGTAGACAATGAATACAGTATGCGTAACACATGCCTCAAACATCTGAGTCGACAAAGGTTCACAACCTGATCAATTTTCCTTTCCTCCCTAAAACTCTACACCTGACTTCGATATTGCCGACGCAATGACACCAGAACACCAGACTTATGCTATGAAGGCAATAGTGACCAAACATCTGAAGCTTTCTCATATCCTCTACTCTCAATGGCCATGTTTCACAACCGTAAAGTATAACAGGGCAAACTGCAGCGTAGAACACTCGGCCGCTAATGGGTATTCGGATATCACGACCGTACTATGAATAACGTAAGGTAGCGAAAGCCTTCTGTAACGGTGCAAATGTTCAGTTAGTTCAGATTCCAGACAAGGTATTTACGCAATCCAGTCTTCAGGCTCTTCATACTACCGATTCGAGTTGATTAAGCTGATAGTTTTTTGAAAGTGCTTCAAACTACTGGATTATATCAACTTCCATGAATCGAAAGTTTCAACAAGCCAGAGATTAGTAATCTACCACTGACGGCCAACTAGTGATCCAGTATCAAAAACTTGACTACACAAATGTCCACTCCATTTTAAGCTTCAAAACAGTGTAGATAATTGGAGTTAAGATATAGTATGAGTACAATACAGAGATGATAGACCTTTTAGGCTATAGAGACTTACAGGAACAGTGCATATGCCTAGACCTGCAGTTTGTTAAAAATCGAATGCTAAATGTGAGGAATACTTGTCACTTTACAGGCGTTCGGTAGCTGGTTGTTTTGGTACTTCAGGACAAGTTTTAAAACTGGTATACAAACCACAACACTATTAGCCTCAGCTTCAGAAGTCCCAACTCCTACTAGTACCTGTTCTCTTGCTCTGTGACAGCAACATACAAGAAAAACATAGGTTACATTCATGTTACGATCAGCATTTTAGTTTTTACTCGAACACAGAAGAGCGTAACCGAATTGTCTATATTTCAACTTCAAACCAAGGTATTCATCACAATTTTTTGTGTCAATCTAACAATACAGCATCCAAATGCAAACATATGATAATTAAAATAGCTGCATCTGAAGACAATGTAACATGTGGTAGCAGATCAACAAGTTCTCTACTTCTCATTTCATGATGCATCTCTGTTGCCTGTCGAATTCTCGTCGAATGACTTCCTAGGAGTAGCCGGTCAACAGAATACACAAAGAAGGTTGAAAAACTAGTTCCAAAAACCAAGAACCCCATACAGCTACAGGAAGTAATGTTAATGATAAGAATAGAATGGGTATCCGATGACGAAATCAAAGTTTCTAGACAATATGATCAGTTTCCAGTTGCTTCCGGAAGTCAGATCCCACACCTCTAGAGCAACAGCCCCATAAACAAATATACTTGTTTCCCTCATTAACTTAAGTCATGAACAGCGAAGACTGGCGTAAACCACTAGAAACAGATCTGTACCTATCGTTGTTAGCCCTATCCTCGCTTTTAACATCTCATAATTCTACTTATTGCCGATAACAATGGTCAAAATTTATCTAATACAGCACTTGATTGCAATTTCATGCTAGAATAGTAAATATCAAGTAAGCTTTAATTATTAAAAGAAAATTCGAAAACTGGATGTCTTTTAAACGTATACGCGGCGTGGTTTTTGCTTAGTCTGAACTAACCAGTAGGTGACTTTACAAGCGATACCTTTGATAGAGGATTTTAAAGAGCGTGGGTAGCATAAAGTGATGGTTTGAAGTGCATCTTGATTGCCACTTTTATCTTTACTTGACTGAATGACCCCGAACATACTCCATACGACTTCGGTTCATAATCCAACTACAACCCTTGCTAATCCAGCTACCAAGCAACAGTAAAATGGTAATGTAGTTCACCATACTTGTGGATGCCCATTTGCTAGGTAACAAGGTGTACTTATTGTGAAGGCTGATGATGCTACTTGGCTGTACAAAGAACTATGGTTGAAACAGATGTTCAACCAATAAATCACCAGTTAGAAGTCTCTTGCATATCTAATGAGTGAAGTTTTCACATACAGCCGCCTACTACCATGCTGAACTTGTAGAAGATAACTTTTCCCTAGAGCTCTGTTCAATCTAGGATTAGGATGTACTGACGCACGTTTTTACAACCTACTGCAAGCATATGTTTTCACCGACGTCACATGAGCATCTGAACTAGGAAAATCAACAGAAAATGCATCTGAAACCTATCAGCGTCAACAAACATGAAGTAAAGGAATGGAAAGATATATAACTGATCTACCCAAAAAAGTAACTCGAAGACTTTAATTTCGTTTTTTAGAGTGCAGCTTAACCACTTGTTTACTAACGACGTTATTTTACGCATATCATAGTGCAGCTGTGGATTTGGTCTAAGCACTTGGTTACCAGGCGAATGATCACAGGTGGGAACACTGCCCCACCAACAGGGATCTTGGCACCCAGGCAGTTTTATTATCCCTTACACAATAGGTTTACTGCAAGGGTCGGTACACGGTAGGCGACTGAATTTCGACGCATATCATATTACTTGTAAGCCAAGGGGCACAGTTCAGAGGTTTACACACCGGTCAGAAGCTCTATGCAAGATCTAAAAAGCTGTGACATAGTAAACACTGAAAAAAACAACCCCAAATAATCCCTTTATTGTAAAGTAATCCTTTTGCGACCAACCAACTGCTGAATATGAAGCGACCACCGTTGGTGTCGCCTTACATTATAATGATACCTAGAATAAAAAACTCGATTCCGGATGAATTTTTCTTTAAGACATGAGGTACTGAGACAAACTAACAGCATAAATCCCCCCCGGGAGATTAGTAGCGACCTCTTACATGATAAGGTAGACAGACCAAGACAGGCGACCTTGAAACAGAGAGCTTTTACACAACCCGCGTTTTCGCAAAGCGTTGGAACTAAAAAACCCTCGTACTGTTGAAATATCAAGCAGCGTTTCCTAAGGATCTACGCCTATATTAATGGAACATATGCTTTGTTAGGATCATCAGTTGTTTCACCGGTTCAAAGAAGTCTGAAAAAAGAAAGATAATGGGTTGATTAATGAATTACCGTGTTATATGTGGTGCAACCAACGATGACAACTTCAGAAAAGAGGCTTCGTTGTTTATACAAGTTAGCATAAACTACTGTACCTTCTCCGGCTCTATTCCAAAAATCTTCGAGGTTGATATAACTGATTTAATGCTTAGAGTGACCAGCTAAGATGGGGAGGACTACAAGCCCAAATACACCATGATCATATCCCTTCTGGTCTTGAAATATTGCATTGGATGCACCTTAAGGACAACTAAGCGTTCTAGATCAGGCTTGCGCCATACCCCAACCACCTTCTTTGCGACTCTTCTTTGAACCCGTTCTCGGATGGATGTGGACTTTTTCAAGTATACAAACGAAACTAGTTGGGTTTTTCGCTACATGAGGTGAGCATGTATCACAATGCAGTGAAAAGGCCCGGAGTTAGACTGTCTATAGTATGATAAGGAAACCCTACGATCCTATATAATATGCCGGCTGCAAGCCAGCAATGGAAAGAAGTTCCAAGCTTTTTACTGAGCATAACCGCCAAGATATTTTTTCTCCAGAAAGCAGTAACTAGAACTGTACTTATATTTATCGGTAATCAGTATTCTGGATTCCCCCGTGCTAGATGGGAATAAACTTTCACTTTTCCCATCACCGATTTTAGAAAGGCCCTTCAGCAGGATCAAGATATATTTTGGTTCCCGAGTCTTCCTGTATATCTTAAGTTCATCGTCATATAGTTGCGATTGGGAACTAAGGCATGCTACCAAGCTATCTATAAAAGCAAGAAACAATGTTGAACCAAGGGCCAATACACATCACCCATCATTGGAAGCCAGCTCGGTAATGAGCAGCCTATTTTACCGATGGTAACCGGCTGCCGAGGTAATCCCTAAACCAACTGAGTAACCTCTTGTGTGCCTGGATGTAGTGAAGCTACTTGCGTGGGACTACTCCCATCAAAACAAAAAACTTTGTATCGTGGAAACAGCGAAGAGCTGTTCCTTGGCTTTTGTGTCCCCTTTTTTCATGACATTCTTTATTTGAAATAATACAGTTCCCTTTGCTGACCACTTGGTCGAACGAAAGTAAGTCTTTGGTTTGAAGTCACACTGACCCGGAAACACTTTGAAACACCAAGTAGTAGGATCCAGTTTCAGTGGTAATTTATGGGTCATTGAATGGTGGTGTCTTTTAATTTGAGACATTTATGTAGATGTGGTCATCATGGGCTTAATCAGTGGCCAGGTTTGTCGGTACAGGACTAGTGCGGGAGATTGCTTTGGCGCAGCTGCAACATTTAGCCAGTTGGTAGATCTTGGACATTCTGAAGCTAATTCTCGAGCAATTGCTTCGCTTCGAAGTTTCAGACAACTCATTGACCCTCACTGCAGCAAGTAACCTCACGGACATTTTGCAACTTCCTATTGTCACCGAAAGATACCTCTAATGACGAAGATGAAAGGGTGGCTGGTGTCAGGTTTGCATACCATCTTCAGTTACATTCTATGCATTTTGAAACTCACACGACAGTTTCGCACAGCAAATCTCGAGTGATATACTTCTTGCGTTTGCGGTTCTTTCTCGTTGTTTAAACTCATAAAAGTGCCGAGTTCTAGTCCGTGATCCCGCCGCGTGTTTGTTTCGTGCCTTATGGTAGAGTACTGTGGTGCTCTAAGCTGCATAACACAGGTTTTAAGGAATTTCGATGAAAGCGAAACATTCAGCAACCAAGTTGGTGCAGGTTGATATCATATTCGTCCTGGCTTTCTGGAATTTTCGAGGGGGAAAAAGCCTTTCCGAAGTATAGTTTACGAGGAAAAGAAATGTAAACATGAAATTTCTTTCAGCGACTGCCTACAAGATGGCATATAGGGGCGATTTCGCAAGTTTTTCCGCCTTCCATTGTAGGAAATCATCTAGGGTCTCTGCTGAGGACAGCAGCCCACACTTAAGTGTCCGTGAAATTGCCTCAGAAGGTGGCACAGACAGTGATAAGTCATATGCCAATACCTATGCCATGATGATTTAGTTACTATAAACCACCGAAGAATACCGCAAGTGCAAGCTTAAAACCACTCTAACTGGGAACTCGTTGGAGCTGGTATTTGCAAACTACAGTTTACGAAGCTTGCGCCATTTAAAGGCGGATGGAGTGGCAGCACAGGAAGGGCTAGTCCATATTTGGAAGCAAAATGATTTTGAACACTAGGTGGATAGCTTTGGGCAACTTGAGCCCCGGAAATCATATGATGTGTGGTTGCTTTGCCTACCTACCTGTCTGGCAGTTCACCCAGTTCTGAGGTGGTGACAAGAAATGAGAGTGCGTCACCTGCTTGCTTTAGCGAAAGTGAGCATTCACATGCACAGATCACAGCACTCTTGACTGATCTCTTAGTTTGTTACGCACACGGTGGTTTCCTATGTCGGAACTGTTTTCGAAGCATTACTGACTATGCTGGAAGATATGCCGGTGGAATTTCCGCCGTATGTTCTCGCTTCCTCCTCCGAATTTGCAAAGAAGAAACCTAACCCAGCTCTTCAGAGCAATACTTCTGTTAGTTAGTTAGGTTTAAGTATCCGGGACACTTTGAAAGGAAGGATATCTCCCATGCTTTTTCCTGGCTTTGTTTTCCCAGGAACCAGTCTAAATCGTGAGCGTCCACGAATGTGAGGGTTATTCTGGACTGTGTAATGAAAACCAGACCCAAACTACTCGTGGACAAAAGACTTACTGTTAAGTTGAGGACAAATACTCCTGCTGATTGTGTTTACTCCCAGTCACATATCAGCAATTTGTGTAGATGTATTAGAGGGCGATTAGTTTTATTTTAAATGAGCGCAGTTTATCTTCACAGGGGCCGTAGTCAAGTTTCCAGTGTAGTGTCTGCCACACTTATTCAGACTGATACTCCGCTAACTTAGGCTTATGGTCTTCGCTCAAAAGTCAGCAAGGGAATGCTAGGAGATGTGACGTAACTTTGAAGTTTTACTTTTTGAAATAAATGGACGATATGTAGGAAGACGAACATGTAAGGACTGACGGAAAGCAGACAAGGCTGGTTGTCAAATGATTACTGAAAAGCCGTAATTGTAATTACGGTAGTATTGTAGGTGGTTGGCTAATGGAACATTGTACATCCTGATGAGTGTAGTCCCACTCTCCCGCAGGACAGAGGCTACCGACCTATATTTACGCTGCTATAAATTTGTCGATTGATATCGGAGATTGCAGGCGTAGACATTTAGGAATGATTCAGCTTCCCATACGTCGAGTGCCAAAATATGTACGTTTGCGCTTCCTTTTTTAATCGAAGAAGGTTGTGTGAGCATGCTGATCGGTCTTTGAACAGGAAGACCATGGAATTCATGAACGAAGAGGAAAAGTTTGGACACAGTGGTACAGCGAAATACTGCACTGTGTCATTTACTTAATACAGCACACAGTGACACACCGTCGAGCTTCTTATGAAAGATCAGTTGCTCATGGTCATATCCAAGTGGTCGCACAACTTTCAAACTTCAATTTTTGACCGGATAGCTCTTTTTAGGTCGAATGTCTATGGACATTTGGGACGAAACTGCACCAGAAACCTTTCAACCTAACCCATAAGTGTGATGGAAATATAAAGACGACACACGTAGTGCGGTGAATGCGGAACATGTCCAAAGTCTTTTACACATGTAAACTCCATAGTGGATGCCATTCAGTTTGCTCATGAGTTAGAAAGTAGAGAAGGAACAGCGTTTACATTGGATTGTGAAATTGAGGGGAGAGGAGGTGGTAGTTTGCACACCGGTACTTACTGCAAACTGCTACACCCGAACAGATACTTGGATTTCACATTGTCTCATCTTATGTCTGTAAGGGTAGGCTTGTTAAAATTTTCAAATAACCATGTTGATAGTCTGACCGACACATCAGAAAATCCAAGCAGGAGACCCAGACACATTTGTGGAATATTACTACGTCACAACTACTCTAGGGAGTTTATTTCGAAGTCTACGAAGAACTATAAGAAAAAGGGCTGTGACGTTAGTGATAATCACAAAATGCCTCAGAGAGAATTCAAATCTTCCCTAATATTGCCATCTGAAGAAGGGGAATTGGAAAGTCTGTGCAGGATCCCAACGCTTATGGGAACAGGGAGCATCTAAACCCAAAAACCCGCCTTGGAAGGATCAGTATTCATCGTATACAAATCAGCAAAACAACCGGTTCTGTCAGGCACAATCGCCAAACTTACTCACTCCCCCCCTACCCCCTCGATTCACAGCCGAGTACAGCGAGAAGCCAACAAGTGTGCTCGCTCATGTGGCGTCACCACCACACACGGCGAAAACTATACATGTTGACGTTAATAAGACAGATATAACGTAGCAACCAGTCAGCTCTCCTAAAGGCTTTGATAAATTTATAAGCATTCTTGAAGTAGAGAGTTGGCAAAAAATGCGACACCCCACCAGGCACAAAAGTGTCCGGAGTCCAGTCCTCACAAACGGAACCGTGCCCGCAAAGCTGCATGCAGGTGCACAATCCGCAGGTAGTGATCATAAGACAGAATACGGAAACTTCAACATACCCAGCGCAAAGTCTGCCCGCAAGACAGAAATGGCTCTATCTGGGGGCTACAAGTATGCCAAATAGGATGAAGCGCTGTCTGGATTAGAGCTCCCCCTTTATCAGCAATTCGGCCAAATAACCACTGTATAAATACGTAGAGATACCCGAAGACAATATTACTACAGAGCTCCAAAGAGAAATAAAGAAAAACAAAGTTGAGTTTAGGCCTAGGAAGGTACGCAATGGAATGCGTAACCGCGTTAGAGAGTTCTATAACTCAAATGGCTTTTCATCGCCTGCCA